ATGATAGATCATTAATATAGTGACGAAACAACGTCTTAAACGGTAACAAATTAACGATTAATTTTTAAATTTTTTTATCTCGGAATTAAAAAAAAATTACATCGAAAGTTTTGTTTTCAAAAGTAATAACGAACTATAAAAAAATAAAGTGAAATATAAAATTAGAGGTAAAATAAGTATGATATATTGAAATAAATTGAAAAGGAAGGTGCGAAGCTAAATTTAGTTTTTTTATAGGGTTGGAGTGAAAATAGGGTTTGGGGAGCTAAAAAGCCATATTTGACTATTTGGGGAGCCAAATTTTACTTTGTGGGTTGGAGTTAGTCTTATAATAGGAGGGATGGGAAATAAAATTGGCGATCACAGTACTATAATAGTAGCAGCTTATTCATTAGCGGATGGAGAGGTAAGCTTACTACTGAAATGAAAGGGAGGGAATAGTTTGTTATTAGTATGTGGAATTTTTTTCTCAAAATACACATGTTTTTTAAAAAAATCCCAAAATACACACATTTTATGAAATTTTTTCAATCTACACATGTTTGGGCATCACCGCGGCCGTCAACTGCGATGAATGCATTAACCGCTGCAAACTAAAGCGGTGAATGCATCAACGCGGTTGACAGCCGCGGTGAAGGCCTGACCTAAGGCTGAACTTCAAACTAACGTAACTTTGCGCTCGGTTATCCGATCTTAGCGAAATTTTTTTTTCTGATTTTGCATAAATTTTCAAAATCTTTCAATCTGTATGTGTCCTTCATCCAAAAAATATCATCTGCTCAATTTTGACAAAATTTGGAAGATCATAAATTTCTACGCCGCTTTTCGAATGTCATGAAACTTTTTTTGATTTCGCATAAATTTTTAAGGACTACAACTTTGATCATCACCATAATTTTGCAATGTATATGGATTTGTGAATAGTAAAGGCAAAGTTATTCCCAAAATCCCGTATACCCATAAATATTCTTGTTTTGAAAATTCTTTCCTAGTAAAAGTTGCAGTTCTTAAAAATTTATGCGCAATAAAAAAATTTGTATGACTCTCGAATTGAGGAGCACAAAGTTATGACCTTACAAAGTATGAAAAAATAAAAAAAATTGCCCGTTCAAGGTAGCAAACGACATTTTTTGGGATGAATGCTAGTTGTAGATTGAAAGATCTTCAAAATTTATGCGGAATCAATTTTCTTATTCTTTTTTGCTACGATCGGATTACTGAGCGCAAAGTTACGTTAGTTTGAAGTTTCAGTCTTAGGTCAGGCCTTCACCGCGACCGACAAACACGATGAAGTCTTCACTACGGCCGTCAACCGCAGAGCGTTAAATGAATTCAACGCGGTTGACAGCCATGGTGATGCCCAAACATGTGTAGATTGAGAATTTTTCCTAAAACGTGTGTATTTTGGGAATTTTTTTAAAAATCGTGTGTATTTTGGAAAATTCCCCCCAGTATCTGTGTCATGAGGGCCTGGAGACTCCTCAGGATGATATTGAAAGAGACATCACTTTTAATTTCCTTGGGCATGCCACTCAAAACAGGTTGCTCATTAACAAACAAAGAAAGAAGAGAACACTCACTGATGATAGTAGTTGCCCACACTGCAAGTATGAAGAGGAGACAACGAAACATGTATATACTAGGTTAATTGCAAGGTTGGTCACTGACATTACTAAAAAGTTAAAACGTTCATGTTTGGTCACTAAAAATATTTAATTTCATTCGTGGTCACTTAAATTAGTTAGATACTTCAAGTTTGGTCACTCTTCGTCTAACTCCGTTAACTTTTGCTTACGTGGCGAGTAACTCTAAAAGTTGACCGTTATATGTGTAACATGGCAATTAAAAAATAATAAAATAAATAAAATTTAGTTTTTAAGACTTTCCACCTAGGATGTGTAACAACCCGATCCTTTTTTTGAAAACCAAACCATAACTCAAACCACAAACTGGTTACTCCGGAGCAACCCAAAACAGGTTTACAAGTCAAAACTGAAAATCAACAACGACAATGTTAAGACTCTCGAGGGAAATGCCTTAAACACTTGGGCGACCTCAATCCAAAGAAACAAAACATAAAACATAATCCTTGAGTTTCCTAGTATACTCATTAAGACAAGAAGTAAAGACAAGAATATTGAAAGGTTCTATCTCGTTACCCAGATCCTGTTGACATCTTCAAGATTGTCGCGACTGCTCTCCTCGGGTAACCTCCTTTAGATGGATGTAGGGATGGCAATGGGTCGGGTCGGGGACGGATAGTGCATATCCGTTACCCTACCCGAAGTAGTTCGGGTTTTACCCATACCCATACCCACATGCGAAACGGGTACAAAAATAAAACCATGCCCATGCCCGTTCGGGTTTCGGGTATCCACGGTTATTCATGGATAATAATTTCTCTTTATAACTCCAACCAATATGTTAACATTCACACGTATTCTCACATTACGTAAGAGGAAAAGTACGACAATAGTTCACTAGAATGAAGAAAATTAACTAAAACAACACAATTTCATGAAAATATTATATTTATATGCTAAATATAAAATATGTTAGGGAAAAATAATAATTATTTCTAGAGAAAATACACATGCATGTGTATAATCGGGCGGGTTCGGGTTGGATAGTTAGAAACCCATAACCACCCATTACCCGCAATATTCGGGTTCGGGTTTTACCCTTACCCACTAAATGTCCTTCGGGTTCGGGTTTTACCCTACCCGATTAGGCCGGATTCGGGTGGATATCCACGGTTACGGATATTTTTGCCATCCCTAGATGGATGCATCCTCTTCCCCTCTCTGCACCTGGTGAGTGAGAAGGGGGCCAGTCTCGTCGTTACTTTCTAAGGTTTTCGTCTTAAGAAAATCCTGACTAAACACATTATTAGGGTTCTTGGCTTAGTCAAAAGTCGTTCTCGCTTTCATCTTTATACTTTATTCTCAAAACAGTATATAAGAGATCTTTACTCCTAACTTATCTTTAGAATCTCTTTACTTATATCATTTATCCATAAACACCAAAACACTAGGGACAACCGCGTTACGTATCGTCATCCGGTGTCCCTACCCTAGTATGCCAACCATGTTAGGTCTCACCGTCCGGTTGCATACCCAAACTCGGCAATGGCACTGCGTTACGTCTCGCCATCCAGTCCATGCCCGGTCAACTACTACGTTACGTCTCATCGTCCAGTAGTGACCCCAACAAACACGATCAACTGCTGCGTTACGTCTCGCCGTCCAGCAGAGCTTCGACCATCTACCGCGTCCAATAGTGGCCCAACCGCCCAGGGGTTCATCTTACCATTGACCAATTATTACAATCATACATTCATGCAGAGCACAACGAGTGCCTCCACCTTAAGTAGGTGGTGGGATGCCTCACACACATATCGCGTGTTACTCAAAAATTAACTAGCATAACTTGAAATAAAAGGCATAAATCTAAAAGACCTCGACGGACATTTTACCCCCTTTACACTCCCCTCGAAAAGATGACTCATCGATTCCTTCCTCGAAGAAATCCCTCCTTAACCGAATTATCTTGGAAAACCTATTAATAAAAATCCATTTTCTTAGACAACCTTTCTCGATTTAAAACCCCTTTTTATATACCAAAACACCCTCTCCTCATATTCCCATCCTCAAAACTCATTTCAAAGATTCCTTAACCTACTTTAACAATTTTCTAGAAATAATCCTTTCAAAACCGACCATTTTTCCTAATTAATTTCATCTTTGACGAATTTTTCACCTAGTTTGAACCTTCTTAAAAACTTGGATAATACTTGTTCCATGTCAATCATGAGAAAATAAACAAAGGAAAATTATCAAACTCCTAAAAAATCATCGACATGGTTTTTATTTAATTAAAATCAACGTTCGACTAATTTCTATAAATAAAAATACGTCTTCAAAAATCCCCAAATTAAATCACATGCATCTCCTAGACCTGAGCCAATTTTTAAAATTATGAAACAAAAGAAAAACATCTTAATCACATTTCTGCAAATTCCCTCCAGCTTTAGTGATCACCCAAAATTTGTCACTAAAAGCCTGCAAAGTCTGTCGCTAAAATTCCAGAATTGCACCCTCACGAAAAATCACCAAATCGATTGATCTAACTCGAAGGGATCGAGTTCTCTTACCTATAAAACGTGCCTAGGACTAAATTGGATGACCCGAGACGTTGATCTCATCGTTGATAGATGTTCGAACCCTCAAACCTCACCGCAAAACGCTATAGTTCAAAAATACGAGTTTCAGATTAGATTGTCGATTAATCGAGTTTGGAATCGCGAAAGTGTTCGTGATCCTTACCTAGAAACACGAAAGGGAAGGGCTGGGGAATCGGGGTCGGGCACAGGGAGCCGGCGACCCTTTTCTTTTCCTTCTTCTCTCTTCTCGCCCAACTGCTGCTCGCTTCTTCCCTCGGCTGCTGGCGGCGCGACTGCTATCTCCTTGCGGGGGAAAGGTTCCATCGAGAGATACGTGAGATGAGGGGGTTTCTTGGGGGTGGGGAATGTCTATGTGTGGGGGGAGGGAATTGAAAATAAAAGGGTCGCTCGGCCTCTTTTGGCTAATCCCATTTATGTATTTTTTCAATAATAGTTAGGACTTTGCTACGGTGACATGCATGTCACGGTGACATGCACTTTTCGCTTGACCTCATATAGGATTAAGTCGAGCTAATCTGTTGTTTCAGTGTAAGAACAGTTTCATGGTGCCTACTTTGGAGATTCATATCTTACAATTGGCTAGATGGAAATTGGAGATTAAAGGCTTGTTTTGAAGCTGAAGTGTCCCTCTACACATTAAAGTACTTGGGAGCTCAATAGAAAGTCCAGAAGACCATTTTTGAACCTGACCAAAAGGCTATGCAAAAACTGGGAAACTGCCTGAAAATGGCTAAGTCTGGCAACGTGTTTGTCAAGCCTGCTTTGGAGCTCAATTTGAGAAGCATGGATGCAAATCAAGTCCAGGGGCCTCTAACACGTTAAATTAAGTACTTTATTATACAAAGGCAAGGCATTGGATGAAAGATTGAATATCTTTAAGGCTTCAGACAAAAGGCTCGAAGTTGCTACGAAGACTGTTTTTCTGGCAACTTGCTTGTGCTCGAAGTCTGCAGAAAAACAGCATTCGTAGCAACTTCGACCCTTTTGTTTGAAGTCTTACAGATATCCAATCTTTCATCCACTGCCTTGAATTTGTATAAAAACATACCTAATTTAACGTGGTAGAGGCTCCTGGACTCGACTCGCATTCATGCTTCTCGAATTGAGCTCCAAAATAGGCTTCACAAACACGTTTCCAGAGTTAGCCATTTCGAGGCAATTTCCCAGTTTTGGCATAGCCTTTTGATGAGGTTCAAAAATGGTCTTATGGACTTCCTATCGAGCTCTCTTCCACTTCAATATGTAGAGGGACACTCCGGCTTCAAAACAAGTCATTAGTATTCAATTTCCATCTAGCCAATTGTATGATATGAATATCCAAAGTAGACACCATGAACTGTTTTTACACCGAAACAACATATTAGGTCGACCTGATCCTATATGAGGTCGACCAAATCCTATATGAGGTCGACCAGATCCTATATGAGGTCGACCGAATTCTAAATGAGGTCGACCTAATCCTAACTGAGGTCGCCTGGAAAGTGCAAGTCACCGTGACATGTATGTCACCGTAGGCACACCCTAATAGTTATTATTATTATTATTATTATTATTATTATTATTATTATTATTATTATTATTATTCATAGTCTGTGGTTGCAACCATTCGTGCGTAACCATTAATCCAACCGTTCATGTATTTTGGTCGAAACCGAACTCAAAGATCGGGGTGTTACATTTTTTCCACCCTTATAAAAATTCCATCCCCGAAATTGGAACTGGAAGGATAACTACTTAACTTAAACTTATGGTGTTTGACTAAAACTTCTCAAGTTAGAATATAACAGGATGTGAATAAACTCAACAACTCTTTCTCTTCATTCCTTTCTCCCCGAACCGCCAACCCCATTTGATTTCTCATCTCTCTCTCACCCCTCCTCCTCTGATTTTTGGCCCCTAAGAAACCAATGAGACATGAAGTCTCTGTCGCCCGATTCCATCCCTTCCTATCTCTCTTGTTCCTTTTGGCGGCAACGGTGATGATAGAATAAGATCTCGCATCTGACGGGGTGGCGCTTCTCGGTCTCAGTAGTGCTGTCGGCGATAGATCTCTCTCGTGGAACTTGACCGCCACTCCCACAATTGGGCCGTTGTTACATGCGTCGAAAACAGAGTTGTCAAGCTCCATTTCCCCCAATATGAGTCTCTCTGGGGAGCTCCCTTTCCGACTTAGCAATCTCACTCAGCTCAATCCGTTTCAACGCGCTCAGGGGAAGTGTTCCGGCAGACATCGCAAATCCCCGTTTGTTCAGGAACCTCTATTTGCAAGGGAACTTCTTCTCTGACGAGATCCTGACTTCCTGTTCTGCTTGCAGAACTTGGTGAGGCTCAATTTGGCAAATAATAACTCCTCCGGAACAATCTCCCCGGACTTGAACAAGTTGACCCGGTGATGGGCATGGGCGTCTTGTGCGGGAAGCTTCACCGCATGGACTTTGACCATGCCAACGACACTGCCTTGCCTTCCTGCCACGAGCGCATCCGACTCCAAGGTTGACGGACCCGCAACGCCGTTACGGTGACTCGGATCCATGCCGTGGAGGAAGACGACCTCGCTCGCATCGTAGACTAGAGCTTGTACTACGACGGTCGCATGGTGGTGTAAAAGATCTTCCTGACGAGGAAGGAGTGGGAGGAGGATGCCTGTCGGTGGCTGTTGGAGAGGCCGGTTGACCTCATCGGCGGCAACCACCTATGAGACGGTCGGTTGTGTGATTGTCGACTGGATGGTTATTCACATCCTAGGTGGAAAATGTTAAAAAATTAAATTTTATTTATTATTTTTTAATTGTCATGTCACTTATATAACAGTCAACTCTTAAGCAAAAGTTAACGGAGTTGGACGGAGAGTGAGCAAACTTGAAGTATAATTTAAGTGATCACGAATGGAATTAAATATTTTTAGTGTCCAAATGTGAACATTTTTAGTAATCTTAGTGACCAACCTTGCAATTAACCCTAAGGCCTTGTTCACTTCCATTTCGTTTCCTGTTTTCATGTCATAAATTTGGCAACTGAAACGAGAAAACTTGTTTACTTTTCATTCCATTTTCTATTCGTTTCCAACTATGAAAACAGAAAGTGGCAACTTCCTGCTGCTTTCGGAAACGACAAAATGTTGTTTTCACCTGTTTTCAACATCTGTTTTCTCAAAAATAGGAAACAGAAATGAAAGTAAACAAGCCCTAAGAAATTGAAAGAAGACTAAAAGTATTTGGAACTACGTACTTCGGCAATATGATGACAATGGCTGACCCTAACATCGTGTTCCACTGTTGGCTCTCGACTAATCTCAAGTATGAGAACCATAGAGTTGCTTTCGCTATTATCTGCTGGCTACTATAGAAGCAAAGAATCGAAAAAGCCCTGGATGGACAGTCCTTTTCGGAACCAGGTCTGATCATTAAGATCAAGGCTTGGTTATCATTTATCGTCAGGCTCATGAAAACTTTGTGAAGATCAGTAACATCAGCATGGCAAAGCGGACATCATTGCATAACACTTGGACTCCTCCAAAGGAAGGCTGGGTCCAAGTTTAGATCGACAAATCATTTCTCCCTCAAACAGGTTATGCATAAGCTGGCGGCCTGCTCAAAGACCACCTTGACATGTGTAAAGAGACCTTCGTCTGCAACTTGGGCATGTGCTTTATTACAAGGACAGAGCTGAAAAGGTGCGGACAAAGGACTCCGAATTGCTTGCGGAAAGAGGTTATAGGAAAGTGGAGTTGAATCTAAACTCCACAACAACCATCAATCTCATCATGAAACCCAAGGATAGCAACCACCGCCATGGGTTACTAGTGCAACAAATTGGCTTACTTCTTAATTATAATTGGGAAGCAGCGATTTTTTCATATTTTTAGAGAAATCAATTTTGCTACCGATTTCTTGACATGTAAGGGTCGTGATGCCCATTTTGACACACATTTATTTGATGTGTGCGACCCAAACCTTAGACATTCGCTCATGTTTGATATTATTGGAGATTGTTATATTGATATGAATTAGGATGCTCTAGCATCCATCTTTTTACCCAAAAAAAAAAAACTAACACAAGGACCTAATTGTTTACTGGATTCCTATTTAACGCCCTAACTTTTTTTAAAATGTCGTCCTAAATTAACAAAACAGACGAATTTACCCTCACCTGCCCTAAATCCCTAAAACAGAGCTTTCCGCTGCCCTGTCGACGCCGTCCGCCCCGGATCTAAGTAATTGAAGCGCACATTATTTCACTGCGGCTCCTGAAGTTAGTTCAGGATAATTGAAAGAAAAATTATTTCTTTAGACTTAATTCCGATTTGGTGTTCTTTAAATGGTTTGGTTTGCCTTTTAGTTGCAGTAAGTTGTGATATCATCAGATGTTAAGTTGGATGATAGCTTGTTTCTCTTATGTCAATGCAGAGGCCACTTCCAGAGTATCCAGGCTGTTGGTCACTTCTTCATCCTTCTAATCTGGAACCTTGTGAGATCGATCTCTGCATTTGTATTGAAAGCAGAGGACCGGAAAGCTTTATCTCTGCTCACCAGCCGCCGGCCTGCCCACCTCTCCTGCTCGTCAGATGGGTTGAAATCCCGTCAGAGGCGAGGTCGGCGGCAACTCTCTTATCCTCCCGTTTTCTTCCTCATCCCGACGGATATGGTCGACGACAAGAGGGGTTCCTTCTTCGGACGTCGATTAGGCGCTAGAGGTTGGTGATGACGATGACGACTGGGCACTTCTTCTTCTTTGTCCTTCCCATCAAGCTCGCAGCGGCGACGGGAGCAAAATCTGGTTTTGGATGACCGACAACAATTGTTTTTTCTTTGTTGAAAAACCAGCGGCAATCTTCATTTGAGGTTTAGGGCGATACGATTGTGGTTAGGGGTAAATTTGTCCATTTATTAATTTAGGGCGATAAAATTTGAAACGTTAGGGCTACGAATAGTAACTCCCATTGTTTATAACAATTACTAGAGGAGTTCACTGTTAAGCTGTTAATGAAAAACAGAAGAAGAAAGAAAGGGGGCTGCTGTTGGACTTGAAAGAGCTTGGCAACTTGGGTTCAGGAAGATCGAGCTCAACCTCGACTCTACCACTGCGATAAGCATTTTGAAGAACTGGAAAGACAACAATCACTCTCATGGCTTGATGGCGGAAAAGATTGGACGCCTCCTTGTTCGTGATTGGGAGGTGGTTGTTAGTCATGTGTATAGAGAAAAGAACTTTGTAGCCGATTTCTTGGCTTCTAAGGGTCACACCCTTCCTTTTGGCACACATCAATTCAATGTGTGCGATCCCAACCTTGAACATTGGTTGTTGTATGATGTCATGGGAACGACCATGACTCGTTCTATTAATATTATGCACTAGGGCGAACCGCCCGTCTTTCTACCCCAAAAAAAAAAAGAAGAAAGAAAACCTGCAACTTGTTAATCCAGTAGCCCCAACGGCTAGTCAAGACCGGAACCCAGCGGCTCCCAGTTCATCTTCCGAACCTAAAATAACCAACGACCGTTGCGCCGAACCTGAATTTTAAAACTTCATCTTCCTCTTTCCCGTCTCTCATCTTCCGCCCCTCTATTCTCTTCCCAAACCCAAACTTCTCTCTGTTTCTGTAATTCTTTCCTCGCCCCGCATTCGGAAAAAAATCAGAATAAGCTGCAAAAAGACAAAATTGTACAAGAATGGTTCGCAAGAATTGCAAGAGATCTCCGGCCAAATCTATCAGAGACCTCCGCAGCCATCAACGGCGGCGCCACCTCCACAACCGGAAAAGGAACGGCGGCGACGGCAATGCCACCAACAACGGCAAAGATGCCTCTTCCGCTTCCTGCTCAACCGCCCTCCTCTCCACCATCAGCAGAAAGGCTTCGAGATGCAAGAACCGCCTCATCAGAATCTTCTCCAAACTGGCCGCCTTCGTCGACACTCCCAAGACCGGCAGCCGCTACAGAGGCTACCAAATGCTGAAGGACCGGCTGGGAGGGAGCCACGACGTCATCGGAGCTGAATGCTCTGTTCGCAAAATCCTCTGTTTTGAAGACCCCTTGCCGCCGTCGATCTCCCCCAGCAAGCCGACGGTGTTCCTCGATCTGGACGAGACCCTGGTCCATTCCGTTGCCAACGACCCGCCGGCGATCTTCGATTTCATTGTCCGGCCGAGGATCGGAGGCACCTGCGTCACTTTCTACGTCTTGAAGCGGCCGGGGCTGGACGAATTCTTGGAGGCTCTGGCGAAGAAATTCGAGCTGGTGGTGTTCACCGCCGGATTGGCAGAGTACGCTTCCATGGTTTTGGACAATGTGGACAGGAAGAAGCTGATTTCTCACCGGCTTTACCGCGATTCGTGCAATCAGGTGAACGGGATGTATGTGAAGGACTTGTCGAGGACTGGAAGAGATTTGACCAATGCAGTGATCGTTGATGATAACCCGAACGCCTATTTGCTTCAGCCGGAGAATGCGATTCCGGTGAGGCCCTTTGTCGATGATCTTGGGGATGCAGAGTTGGCGAAGCTTGGGAAGTTTTTCGATGGCTGTGATGGATTTGGTGATATTAGGGATGCTGTGAAGATGTATGTTAGTAGTGGAAGAAATGAGGCCGGTGAAGATATGGCGATTTCATAGTTAGGTGGGGGGATCTACTACTGGTTTCTCGACCAGCTCGATTGAATTTGGTTTTCCGAACTTTTTGTGTGGTTCTTTGTTTCTTCTTCTCCGTTTTTGAACAAACTCTTGTTCAAATCCTCTGAAGAAACTATGGATATTAACTAATGAAATTCATCTTACATTCCCCCCCATCCATTGTGTAATTTTTAGCTAATTCTACTCTTTTACTTGCCCATTACTATCTGTAATGGCCATTCACAGACAGAAATCAAACGTTAACTGCCAATTTCAAATGCAGAAGACTCGAAATTTGGGCAAAACGAGCAATAAGAGCCAGATCCTTCAGAATGAACTCAAAGAACTCGCAAATCCTTCAACATCCCAAAACCAATTTGCTTTCAGCAGATTATCATTTTCGTAAACTGTGATTAACAACTAAAACATTGAAATTCCAGTTCAATCACCTCCTCTGCTCCGCCATGGCATAAAGAAGACAAAAACAGAGTACCCGGCTGAACAATGTTCAATGAGTAAAATCAAGGATTCACAAAAATCGGATCATTGTCCATTCCATGGCCACAGCAGTGAGAGGCAAGCAAAGCCACAAAATTCCAGCAATCAAAACCCTAACAACACAGCAACCCACAAAGTAAAGGCGGCTCTTTTGGAGAATTTCACATCGTAAGCTCCTAAATACAGAGAACTTTTTCTCCAGAAAAAGAGTGTGAAATTTCAAATCTCATCAATCACAAACAAAGACCTGCTGAGGGAGCTTCCAAGCTTCGAGCTTTCTGAAGCACATGTCGTCCAGAGCATCGCTCCGGCACCACTTGCACTTTGGGTTCTGGGAGCACTGAGATCTGGATGCCATGCCACTGCAGTTTGGGATCTGGCGGCTGGAGTTGCTTCTCTGGACGCCGGATAATCGCCGGACTGACGGCGGCGTGGGCGACGCGGATGAGCGTGGCAGTACAAGTAGAAGGACGAACAGCAAGATCACGAAGGAGACGGCGCCAGAATCGATTGGCCGCATCTTTTCCTAGATTAAAAATTTACCAAATTCTTGACTTGGGTAGGACTTGAAAGTTGAAATCCAGAGGCTTTCCGATTTCCCCCGAGCTAAAATAGTCGTTTCAATGGACTCGTGTCCTTCTGTAATTCATGGGAATTTTCACGGTAGCTGTACTGCCGCTGCCGGATTGATGCTACTGCGCCTTTTTGAGTAAGCCGAAAGGGACATTCTCCTTTTCTCCCGTCCTTTTCTCTCGAGAAAGATAAGAGAAAGGAAGCGACGCCGTTTCAATGGGGGCGGAGAGAAAGAGAGAGGAGAGAGGAGCGTAGACGTAAGCAAGACGTAAGTCAGGATGGAATAGAACACGGCAAAGCCAAAGGCCCAAACCAAACTCGATTCAATAAGCAATCATCATCTCAAAAAAATTGCCGATTGGGACGACGGTGGCGATAAATATCTGCAAATTTTCTTCTCTCCGATACCAAAGTTAAGCGGCGCCTGCTCGGTTCATTTCAAATCTCTCGGTGGTTGGAGTTTATCGGCTGTTAAACCTTCTCTGTCTTTGGTTCAGTGGGTGTATGAGGAATTGAAGACCTGTAATTCAGAGTTCATCCATAGATGGAGGGTGGCGGCGGGAGCTGGGGTTCGTACCCTCGATTTCAAGGAATCGAGGGTTTGGAGTCTACTGAGGTTTCTGCTTTCTCCCGCCGTGATCAACCTACCCCATCCCCGGAGTTTAATTCCAGTCCGGTGAGTACCCTTTTTTTCTTCTTTCTGTCTCCCTAGGGTTCTTAGGCTTTGATCGATTGGTTAGAAGAGTATAGCTGATGAAAAGAGTTGTTTAGCTCGCAATTCGTTGACTTGGAGGTTCAGTTGAGCTGATCATACTGAAATCGTTGTCTTTGAATCGACACAGACCCAAATTTAGTTTCCTTTTGTCCAAAAGGCATAAGCTTTATTTGTAGGTCTGATTTGCCGATTGAACGACTTTTGTGGTAATTCCAAGCTTTATGGTGGATAAGAATTTGAGAGCTGTGGATTGTTACTTATTGCTTCTTAGGAAGAAGCCCCTGTAGTTGAAAGTCTAAGCAAGCCAGAATTAAGCTGCACTACAACATTTATTTTGGTTTTCATCACTCCCTGTAATTTTCTAGTTATATCTCCGCCATCTGAGGTCTTACTTTCATCTAATTTGATGATATAGGATGATGGACGACTTGAAAGTCTTGAGCATCATGATGTAAACGGTACTGGAGCTGGACAGAGAAGCCTAGGGAAGACTGAATTGGAAGACACCGATACTGGACTAAGGAATGACGAGAGAACTGAATCGAATGCTGGCCTCCAGAAGCACGGGAAATACTTCTATTATGACTTACCTCACTATGAGGAAACTGGGCCATGGATACCAGTTTCTGTTCCACCTAGGTTAGAAGGAGAACAGGAAGAATTAGATAGAGATTTCTGCCCAAATGGTGGATATTTGCCTGAAAGTGACTTGGGATGGAGTCAATTCATGGGAGGGGAAAAGGAGCTGACCATGTGGGATGTAGTACACGAGCTGTTACTTGCTGCTCGTGGTAAAGTGACCGCTATAGCTTCGGGCGATCTTCAGAAATGTAGCATTTCCTGGATATCAAACAATCTTCTAGAACAAGCTTGGCAAGAGATGGCTCAAACTCTTACGGAGGCTAATTTTGGTAACCTGAGGGAAATTCTTGAAGCCGAGCCACCACGGTGGTTGGCTGACAGCACTGCCTCTTCCTGTATGCTCTGTGGTGTGAGGTTTCATCCAATCATGTGCTCGAGACACCATTGCAGGTTCTGTGGAGGAATATTCTGTGGTCAGTGCTCAAAAGGAAGGAGCTTGATGCCAACAAAGTTCCGCACCGGGAATCCCGAACGCGTATGCGATGTCTGCAATGTAAGGCTTGAGTCGGTCCAACCATATTTGATGGATCAAGTTAGCCATGCTGCCCAGTTGCCAACCCATGACTTGACAGATCTCAGCACATTGAGATCATGGGTTAATTTCCCCTGGGGACAGTCAATGGAGTATGAAATTTATAAAGCAGCAAACACTATTAAGGGCTACAATAAGGTAAGATCTCTATAGCTTGCTTAATTATTATGATCACGAGCTTCTCTTTAGTTCGTTCCAAAAGTTAGCTGGAGCATATTGCAAATTCTTATTTGGGTTCTTCTGGTTTATACATGGTTATCCAATCAAGGATGATTTCATTGAGTATTGGTGACAGATGTTTCTCTTAAGGGTTGTTTGAATCCTGGATTTGGCTTAAGGATTTTCGTAAAAATTCCTTGAGTAGAGTGTTTGTCAAGAAACCCTTGTTTGGTATACCAAAAAGTGGCCGTGATCCTTGCATTTCCAATTTCATGTGAGGCCAAATCCATAGGTCCCTTGGATTTGACTAACCCTCCTTCTCATGTGGGTTTGCGAGGTTCTTCCCTTCATATTGGTCTCTTGGTTGAAACTAACAATCCACTTCTGCAATCACACATTTAAACAAACAACACAAAATGAACCCACGAAAGTCACAATCCATTCATTTTTGCACAATTGATCAACTTTTTGGATTCATTGATTCAAGGACCCGTACAATCCCTTTTGTTCGAAGCTTTGGGGGTTGTAAGTAATAACTGCAGGCAAGCACTGTGTCATTTTTAATTGTGTATTGGTGCTTTTCTTGATGTTCTTGCCGATTCCTGTCTTTTAGGTGGGTCGCCTAAAAGCCGAGAAGTCCATACCAGACAGAATCTTACGTCAAGCAAAAGGCCTAGCAATAATCACAGTTGTAAAAGTGGGAGTGATGGTTACCTACAATATTGGAACAGGCCTGGTAATTTCTCGAAGACAAGACGGTTCATGGTCGCCACCATCAGCCATATCTTCGTTTGGCATGGGATGGGGAGCTCAGGTTGATTATTATTATTATTTCATTTTTGCATGTTGATTTGATTTGAAAGTTGGAAGTCACTCAACAATCTGCTCCACAAAGGTTCATTGGCTTCTTCACGCTTATAGCTAGCTGTAATTTTCTTGCTGCAGGCAGGAGGTGAATTGACGGACTTCATAATTGTGCTGAGAACGAGGGAAGCTGTGAAGACATTTTGTGGGAACGCTCATCTTTCGTTTGGCGCTGGTGTGAGTGCAGCAGCTGGAGCATTTGGCCGAGTTGTCGAAGCTGATCTAAGAGCTGGAGATGGTGGTTATGCTGCTTGTTATACCTACAGCTGTAGTAAAGGTACTACTTTCTTCCCTAGTTATTGTGTTGATCAACAATATTTAGTCCCCTAAAGTTATTGTTCTGACAACCCAACTCTGCATTGGAGAATATAATAATATTTTTTCGACATATCATCCTTGTGGATCTCTCAACTCTTATGCGATGGCAGTTGGTCATCGACCTTCCTCACAAAAACAAAACTTAAAGCTATTTGGAATGGTAGTATAAAAAATCTTAATGTCTTACTATAGTTAACAATAAATTCTAGGAATAGGATGAAATAAAGTTGTTCTGATGCAATCTTCGTCGAATTTTGCTTAATTGTCTCTTTGAATTGGAAACTCCTTTTCTTGGTCTTCAAGTTTGTTCCATGGTTTCACGAGCACCATGTAATGGTGATGGCGGGCCTATAACCATACATCATAAAGAAGTGTGATTGTTTGCCGTATGACTGTCTGTGCAGGAGCCTTCGTGGGCTGCTCGCTTGAAAGCAGCATGGTTACCACACGGACGAAAGAGAATGCCAGGTTCTACGGTAGCCAATCTTTATCAACATCAGACATACTGCTCGGCCCTCTGCCCAGACCACCTGCTGCCGCCATTCTCTATCGCACGCTGGACGATCTGTATCAGAAGCTCACCGACTAATAGCAGCCCGAATGAGCGAAAATGAAGAGCTCAACAGAGGGATAATAGCCCAGTTCCTGCAAAATGTTCTAATTGTATATCTTTCTTCCCCCCAGATGATCATATCATTTGATTGTAAAGCCGTCTTGTTTACTATTTGCCCACCACCATTCTTAAATCTTAAATGCTCCAGAATGCATGAAAGTGATCCGGCAGTACTGGAAAACAGAATCAAATATGTACAGTACAGATTTATGTATAGAAAGGATATTATCATTCGTGGGAATCTTCTCGTTCTTCATTGATGGCTTGGGAGCTAGTAGAATATCAATGGCGGATTCAAATCAATATCAAACCCGGGCAGCTAAAAAATGGGAATGGAACCATGATGATGTTCCAGAATCGTTTGCAAACTTGTCTGTCGCCGATTTCACTATTGCACGAACATGTTTGTCCTGTCCTGTCCTGTCGGGGAGCGCTTTTTTCTCATCCACTTCGACAACAGTGTTGGATTAGTGGTAAGTTGGGGCAATGATCGACATTATTGCAGCCAGGCCCCGCCATTGCAATCTTACTTACTGCTCGCTTTCGGTGCAACTTAGTACAGTGCTAGTGGATTCGGTGGCCACTGGCTGTGTCGTTACCAGTTTTTGATGTTTGTATATGAATGACGGGGACAATGGCTAAAACCATAATGGCACACACTTTTCTAGTTTTCTTTCACATCCCATGCTCTGCTGCCTCATAATTAACAAACCCACCAAGTACATACGACAGAAAGGTAATGTGCTTGATTGAATTACATGGACGAAAAAACTCCCCCACACATCCACCCAATTCCTTCTCATTACCAAATTGGAAGTCACACGAACGTACGATGCAGCAGGTATCGTATTGTAGTATATTAATTTCATAATAATAATAAGCTACTTCTCTCAACAACAACAAAAAAATTGAAGAATGGAAACGAAGGGGGTGAAAAACGAAGGCATGAACACGAACCAACATCAACGGAACTGAATGGCTTTGGAGAACAGGAAAAGGAAGACAGCTGAGATCCTACTCACTGTACGCACTCCTAACTCAACTGCCGCCTTCCCATCCACAAACTTCCTTTCCCATCATCGCAGGAATTCGCCGACGATGACGAAACGCCACCGGCATCCCCGGAAACACATTCGGACGAGACCAGTCTCGGTTTCTTCCTTTCATCTGCACCAAAGCTATAAACATCATTACACACCAAAGCGTTTTAGAAATTGAGAAAATCCGAAGCTTTGTTAATTAGTTGTTGCATATCATCTCATTCTCACCTAGTCTTGGAGTTGCCGAGCGTAAGCTCAAGATCATCAGATATCAACTCCTCGTGTATCCTCTCGCCTTCCCAAGGCTTCACCAACCTAGCAGCTGCATTGCTGCTCCCAAAAGCAAACTCCGCCGCCATGCAGCTGTCCGCCATGGGAACATCCGCGGTCTGATCAAACACAGCAGGCGAACACGTCCCGCTCTGCCCAGGCGTCCACATTCTCGACCCAGCACCGGACAATGGCTCGTCCTTGAACCCGAACGGGTTCCGGGCCACCAGGCTGAACGTCGGGGACGATGGCCCGCTTTGTGGTATTTGGATGCCGGCTAGCCAGCCCGAATCGGGCAGCATCCCATGGCGACCGGGGCTCTGCGGGGTAGATGATGGCATCGAAGAAGGCATGAAGGGGTAGTTCTGCCCGCCCCACGACGAAGGGCCGGCGGCGGATTGATCGTCCCAGTCGTTGTTGTTGTTGTTGCTGTGCTTGCGTGGGGTTCTGGCTGTAGGGGAACTCAGCGGCGGGGTGACCGGCGCGCTTATGGAGCCCGTGTGGATGTAGAGGCTGTGAGGGTGGTTGTTCTTGGACGAGGTTGAAGATGAGCTGGATGAGAGGTTCTTAAGCCAGGGGATCAGGGAATTGGCGTCGGCGGCGGCGTTGTTGGCTAGGTTGCTGGTGGTGTAGTGGGAGGAGATGGGGCTGGGGAAAGAAGATGAGGCGGGGCTTGGGTTGTAGGATGCGCATGGACTAGGCTGGTATGATGAACAGGGGCTTGCTGATGTTGAACCTCCCAGTATGTCCATTCTCTCCACTGGTCTACACCCCTGAAACGTTTCGAAACCAAAAAACAACACTATTAAATTAGTTCCAGAAATTAGTAGTATGCAATATACACGTGTTAGGAAAACGGATGAAGCAAAGCAGATGAAGGAACATATGGCAATAGTAACACCATGAGGTCTCCATGTTCAACCAAATTCATGTATATCACTCGACAATTGCGGAACTACTTCAAATTTCAATGTTTTTTTAACACATAGGATAGGTTGGATGTAATAATATTCAAAGTGGTATTGGTAAAGCCAAATAACTCAGTAAATTGTCCATGTGGTATTTCGAATCATTCACATGGACATGTAGTATTTGACAATAACATAGGGTAAAATGAGTTATTTTTAAATAACATACTCATGTATGAGTTAACTGTAAATAACTCACAATTCAGATAACTCATTTCAGTAAATTTCGTCAAAACAAATTATTTCCCCCAAATTACTTTGGGCCAAAATAACCCAACCTAAAAACTCCATCCAAACTACCTCATAGTTTTACAGCTATCATTTTTCTCTCAGCACCATTTCAAAATTTAGAACGAGGAGTACCTAGAAGTAAAATTTCATACCAATTTCCCATGATCGAATTTTGATTCCCGGGAAGAGAAAGACTTAAAAATCCAACCCTCCACACAATTTCTAAAATTTTCTAAACATAATGCATAGCGGCTTCTAACCTATACGTAACTGCCCCGAATATAATATGGGTCCAAATCCAATGGACAAATTCTAATAAAATGTGGCTGGCATATACTAACTTGTAGAACAAGTACTCGTTGATCAGTTAATGTCAAAGAGCGATAATTGAGAGAGAAAAAAAGGGGAAGAAGGGGGGGACTGACTATTCAAACTGCTGCAACCATGTGGGCAGACGGCTTTGCCATGTGCCAATGCCTATGACCTCTGCAGGCGCTACACTCATTTCACACACAGTCAAATGTGAGGAATTTCAATTTCCTATTCATGAAAAAACAAAAGGAGGGACACGGACAACAGCTAACGAGAAGGGCAATGCAGTCTTTTCCAGCCGACCGAAAACATAATTTAACAAGCAGAAAGTGGGGTTGGAGCGCTAATTAATTAATTTATGTCCCCAAAGAAAGGAATTTATTAATAAGTGTAAGGTCACACACAACCAAAAAAAAAAAAAAAAGTGCGGTTGCACCCCACGACACGCCATGTCCTCTAAGTCCAACATACACATACATGTCCCCCCCTGGGCTTAATTTCAACACCATCACACGCCGGACGGGCGGAAGAAGGGAACCAATTTTATAAAGACAACAACAATCTCCATCACACTCACACGCTTTACTTAATGATAATAATAATAGTCTTCCCCATTACCACCAAACCCCACTCTTTTTTATTTTTTTCTCGCTTTCTTTTTGTCATCACCCAAAAGCACAAAACCACTACCGGCCCAAAAGTCCACCCATCAGGCCGTGAAATCATAAGCCCAATTCACACCTTACCCTGACCCAACCAGGTTAGTAATAATTGTTGTTTTTAACCCCCCCCAGTCCCACTGCATGATTGCGGGAGAAAATGGTGGGGGAACAAACAGAAAAGAATGGGGGTGGTGAAAACTGAAAATGGTGAAAATGGGCCAAATGGCCACGCCAGCCTGTCCGTCCAACTGAGCTGTGGGGGGGTAAATTTTTTAAAATAAAGAGATAAAAAATATAAAAAAGATAATCCGTCGTCACGTGAAAAGGGTCGGAAGGGAGGGAGGAAGGACGGGTTTGGTCCAACTGACGGACTGTACTCGCTGTCCGCACCTGGTTTACTGTTTTTCACCGTGCCGTGGGCCGAATCTTGAGATCTCGTGTTCCGTGCATCTCCATCAAACAAACAGATTAACAGAGAGAGAGAGAGAAAGAGAGCGAGAGCCAGCCACCCAACGAGGAAAAAGAAAAGAAAGCCTAATATAACAGACTCTGCGAAGCCGGTACGGCGACGGAGCCGATCGAAACGTAATGGATTCCCCCAAACTTAATCGCAACCGTCCACATCCAAGAAGAAGGAAGAAAAAAAAAAGTAGACCGGCCCCTGGGCGGGGTGTGACGGGAAGCGTGACACGCCCCTCTCTCTCTGCCTCTTTCTCGTGATGATTTTTGCCGCCCGCCAGCTATCATGCGCCGAACGATCCGGCGCATTTTAGCGAAAAACGAAACGGGTTTCGTTTTCTTCCCCCCCCCCCCCCCCCCCCCCCCCCCCTACCCCAGCGGCCAGCTCCACCTCACATCACATGATCGGAAATCGCGACAGCCACACACAACTAACAAAATAATTCGCAGATCTACCCCATCCGTCGTCGGTCTTCTCATCAATTCGTACCGCCGGCCGGCGATCTCTTGGCGAAAGCTTTCCTTTCCCGTCGCCGGCGGATCGATGGATGAGTAATGGAGTAAATTAATTGACTAGAGGAGACGAATTATTGAGCTAATGATTGTAAGGTGCTGGCGCTAGGAGGAGGGAGGATAGGAAGGAAGATACGAAGAGTTAGTAGAGCGACTAAGCGTACCTTTCTGTAAGTGGTTCCGTCTTCTTCAACGGTCCATCCAGCTTCGTTGCAGAGAGCTTTGAGGACTTCGTTGTTGTCGCAGTGCTTCGGAAGCTTGTAGTTCCCGTACATCCTTAGCCCGGAGTAGATCTTGGCGGCGATCGCTCTCCTCCGCCGCTCTCTCCTCTTGTTGTTCTCCCTCTCCTTCCACGTCGGCATTCTCGAGCCCGACGTCATTCTTTCCAGTCTCCCCTCAATTGGTGTACTCGACCACAGAAGGAGACGGAGCAGCCTCGAAGGTAATCGATCGGCAGGAAGAGCTCGGTCGCTCGCCGCGGCTTCCACTAATTCAGATGAGAAGCCAAGCCAGAAGGAGACGGAGCGAATCGGCCGGCCGAGGTAAGGGAAGCGGATTTGGCGGGTTTTCCCCCCTCGTTTACTTTTTCTTTTGGTTTTTTGCGTTTGGGTGAGGGGGAAAAGAATTGGGCAAGTTAAATGGGAAGGAGGAGTGGGTTGGGAGGGAGGGAGATGAGCTAAATACAAAGGGGAGTACACAGTAATCAGTAGAAGTGGGAATTCAACTCAACATTTGGGGGAGACGAAATTACAGGATTGCCACTAGGGGAAGGCTTTATTCCGGGATCACGGTGTTAGCACGTGTTTAGGCTTTTTATAAAGGGAAAGGGCCAAAAATGTCTTGCGTTGCGATGCCCTGGGCCTGGGTGGGGTTCGCGGCAACTGCTAATGTTATGGCTTAACATTAATATTTTGGTCATCTATTATTGTGCTATTTTTTTTCTTCTTATGTTGTAATTTACGATTTTCTTTGGCGAGTATGTATAGTTTTAAAATTTTGGCAAAATACACTTCCATAACCATAACTTTACACTGACAAATATAGCCAAATTTTGAGAAATACACAGAAATAGTCATTCCAACATTTAATTTAATGAAACTCTAACCATGGTTGACTGGACAAACGATCGTCTGTGACCGCGCCTGCCTAGATCTACGTGGCATGCCAGGTGGAATTTAAATTTAAATATATTTATTAAATAAAAAACATTAACAAGAAAAAAAATCTCACCTATTTACCATAATTTTTCCGGATCCCTATTCCTTGATCTCCTTTCCCCCCGCATCCAAGTTCTCTCTTCTTCTCCTTTACATCTTTGTGTCTACCCTTCCACTCCCATTAACTCCGCCGCACAAGCAATCTATCGTAATTTTCCTTTTGGCAATTCGACTTCTTAATCCGACTCCCTAAATCCAGATATGCACTGCACCTCGTCGTCATCTTCCTCTTCGTCTTTCCCATCCTCCCTCCAGCTGTGGACTGGGATTTGGCAGTTGCGGCGGTGATCGAGCAAAAACCCTAATGAATCGGCGATGTTGAAGAAGAATCACAGCTAATCGTCCTTTTCCAGCAACCCCTTCTCTGCCGCTGCTGCTTCTTCTTCCCCATCATCGGCGGAATTTGATCTTCAGTCGCCGTTGGGGTTGCGGGCAACGACCCCGTTTGAGCTTCATTGGATGCGACGGGGGAAAGATAGAAGCTTGCGGGAGGAAAGATGAAGATGAAAAGAATGGGTCTGTTGAGTTGGTGGTGTTTTCATATCTCTCTCGAACCTAGGAAATATTTTTTGTTTTGACAGAACGAACCCAGGAATCAAAAATTGACTTCCTGGTTGTCATTGGCGCTCACTCAGAAGCAGAGGGATGCCACCGTAGGCCGCAATCGACGTCTCCCACAAGCCTCCTTGCAAAACCCTAAAGCTCTGGGCCTCCTCCTATAGCGCTGAGAGAGTTCAGCAAGCACCAGATCTGCTATCTCCATTGTGAGTTCCTCCTTGAAAAATCCAGATCGAGAAACTGAATAACCCTAAGCGGCGGCACTGATTCTACAATCACAAGCAACAACGCCGAGCACGAAGCCCTGCGTCGGCTATAATTGGTTTTTTTTGTTTCATAATTAATAAAAGAATTATTAATTATTTTATATAAATAATTTTTAATCAATCATATTTTTAATCCTATGTGGCGTACACGTGGCATGACATGGCGACTGAGAGTTGATGTGGGTGCTTAGGTGGCGTCCACCTCAGCTTATTGTTGACGATGTTAACGGAATCTCTAACACCGTTAATATTTTTAACGAAAATGGCTAAATTTGTCAAATGTATTTTCACAATGTGGCTATTTCTGTGTATTTCTCAAAACTTGGCTATATTTGTCACAAAGTGTAAAGTTATGGCTATGGAAGTGTATTTTGCCTAAAATTTTTACGAGGGTTTTAAATTTTTGGGTAATATTTATTTTGTATTCAAATTTTTTCAGATTCATTTATATTATCTAAACCTATTAAAGTGATATTAATTAGTTAAATCTTTCATAATGCATCAATATATTAGCCATTTTTACGTTATCGTTAATAATTTTGTAACTCTTTTCTTAGTTAAAATATTAAAATTTTGGAATGTTGACCTTCACGTGTCTCTTCCAAGTCAGTATCATGTGGCTGATGAACCACACAACCCACGACAATCAGCTCAAGCCCACCAGCCCAATCCACGATACAACCGCGAGTAGTCCACGTCAGAGGAAAGAATCCACTGCAGCTTGCCAGTAGTTATATGTTATTTATTTGTTATTATTTGGTTCTACTTGTTGAACGAACGACTCTTTGGAGTTTGTTAGCTTGGAGTTTGTTAGTAGAATAACCTCACTCCACATTAGGTGGACGTGGAGATAGAGTCCAGCTAGGTTAGCTGAATTGTAGGCACTTCTTGTTTCAGTTTGAATGGCCTTAAAAGGCTAGTGCGTTAATTGAATAAGGCAAGCATATTTTAGCAAAGAAAAACCCTGGTAATCCCTCGCCAAGAAAAGAGTGAACTGGCTCAATCCCGCCAAGAAAGTGGATCCATTCATTCTTACAATTTCAGTCCTTATCATTTGGTATCAGAGCCCGACATGGGCACCCACGCACAGCGACTCGAGGCTCTCGAAGCCGTCGAGACTAGCAATCAACAAAACTTCCAACCCATTCAAGATCAGCTGGCCGCACTTCAACTCACCATGACCCAGCTCGCTCAAGCCACCGCTGCCAAGAACGCTGCTCCACCGTCTAAGGAGGGGGATAGGTCTGTCATTGGCGCTTCATACCACTCAAATCACGACAATCGCGACAAACAACCTTTCTTCAGAGCTAAGCTCTCCCATCTTGAATTCCCATCCTTTGCCGGCGACGATCCGATAGTCTGGTTTTCTCGGGTCGAGCAGTTCTTCGAATTCCAGGATATCCCGGAGGAACAAAAAGTTAATCTCGCATCATATCACATGGAAGGCGATGCTAACTAGTGATGGCAATGGCTGCGTCGGACGTACCAGACGGAAGGGCTCACAATCACCTGGGACGTTTTCTCGTCTAAGCTCTGGACTCGATTCGACGGCACCACGGGGACCGGCTTCGATGAAGCTCTCTCCCGCATACGTCAGAACGAGACCTTGAAGGATTATCTCACCGAGTTCGAACGCTTGGGTAATCGCGTTCATGACTAGACTCAACAAGCTCTCGTAGGGACCTTTATGGGGGGTCTCAAACCGGTGATTGCTGACGGGATCCGGATTTTTAATCCTAAGTCCTTGAAGGATGCGATAAGCCTCGCTCGGGCTCGCGAAGAACAGCTGAATCGTCACGGCAGCCCACCACAACAGCCCTTTCGATCCACCATGGACTATGCCACGCCGCCACGGCCCAAGCTCAGGTCCACGTTCGACGCGTCCTTTGCATCTCGATCTCGGCCACCTCCAGCCGCTGATGGAGGCCAAAATCATCTGCCCCAACCACCTCCGACAACTACTAATTTTCGTGCTCGGCCACCAGGTTCCAAGCTTCTCAGCTATGAGGAGATGCACCGGAGACGCCAGCTGGGGCTTTGTTTTAACTATGATGCGCCCTACTTCGCTACCCACCGATGTCCAAGAGGTAAACTGTGGATGATGTGGGACGACGAAGATGAGGAAGATATGGAGGAGGCTGAAGTGTCGTTCAACGAAATAACGGGACTGACGAGTGGACGAACTCTCTGTGTTTGGGAGGACATACACGGAACTCATTTGATGGTCCTTATCGATAGCGGATCAACACATAATTTCATTAACACTCGTGCCACCGAATTGCTTCATCTGCCCATGGTATCCATCCCTGCCATTCAGGTCAAAATCGTAGATGGCACACCACTTAAGTGCATCGGCAAGCTTGAAAAAATCCTACTCCACATACAAGGAACTGATTTCCATGTGAATCTTCACACCATTCCCATTTCTGGGTTTGATATAGTTCTTGGGGTCCATTAGCTTGCTACGTTAGGCACCGTCCAAAGTAATTGGCGCACACTAGAGATGGAATTCTTGGGAGGGACAACTGCATAAGATCAAATGGATTCATCGCATCCCACCAAAGGCGGCTAGCTTTGAAAGTATCATTAAGGAAGATCACACACTGATGGCTGTTTGCGTACTTGCCGCGGTGCTTGATCCTCTCCAGCAGGTGCCTCCTGATCTTCAAGCCCTCATCCGCGAGTTTGGGGACATCTTCGAAGAACCCCAGCAGCTGCCACCTTAGCGCACCATTTATCACAATATTCCCTTGAAGCCGGGTGCGGAGGTCGTTAACGTTCGACCCTATCGCTACAAACATTTCCAGAAAATAGAGATCGAAACCCAATTAAATCATATGCTTGCGGCGTGACTTATTCAAATTCAACCATCGACCAATCCATTTTCCTCCCCAGTTTTCTTGGTCAAGAAGAAGGACTGAACGTGGCATTAATGCATTATCGGGCTCTTAATCTCGTCACCATCAAAGATCGCTTCCCGATTCCCACCGTTGATGATATGTTGGACGAATGGCATGGAGCATCGTACTTTCACCAAGCTCGATCTGCGAGCTGGGTATCATCAAGTACGCATGATGCAGCCGACGTACCCAAGACCGCCTTTCGCACACACAGCGGGCACTACGAATACTTGGTGATGTCGTTTGGCCTCTGCAATGCTCTGTCCACGTTTCAAGCTATCATGAACGAGATTTTCCGACCACTACTCCATAAATCCGTGTTCGTTTTCTTCGATGATATACTCGTCTACAACCATGACAAGGAGAGTCACCTCAACCACGTTCGCCAGGTGTTCCATATCCTCCGCCACTATAAGTTCTTCATCAAATTCAGCAAATGCGCTTTTGGCATGACAGAGATCGAATATTTGGGGCATTTCATCTCGGTCGAAGGAGTTCAGGTGGATCCTCGTAAGATCACCGCCATGGTAGATTGGCCGACCCCGACCAACAGTACCGAGCTCCGCGGATTCCTCGGTCTTGCGGGGTATTATCGTAAGTTCGTGCGCAACTATAGGTCCATTGCCCGGGCACTTACCACTCTTCTCAAACGTGGGCAGTTTGTGTGGTCTAATGTAGCAACTTCCGCGTTCCAGGTGTTGAAAGAGGCGATGACGTCGACGCCAGTTCTCGCCTTGCCCGAACTTTGACTAACCGTTCGTCGTTGAAACGGATGCATCCGAGTCCGGCATTGGGGCCGTCTTTATGCAATGAGATCGGACCATTGCTTTTCTCAGTCGGGGGTTGGGCAAATCCAAAGAAAGCCTCTCCACGTACGCGAAGGAAATGATCGCGGTGGTCACTGCGGTTCGGGCTTGGCGGCCCTACCTTTTGGAGCGTAAATTCGTCATCCGGATGGACCAGAAGAGCCTCTGCCATCTCTTGGGCCAATGAATCACAACTTCGTCCCAGCAGTAGTGGACATCAAAGCCATTGGGCTCCGATTTCGAGATTGTCTATAAGCCCGAGCCCAAGAACAAGGCCGCCGATGCTCTTAGTCGTCTTAGCCAAAACGAACCCTAGGTGATGGCTATTTCTATACCCTACATGTCTCTCTGGGAAGATATCAAGACCACGGCAGCGGCGCATCCGTACATTATGCAAGTGCGACGGAGGGCGACGTCTCGCGATCCCGACCTTTTTTCCATCCGCAATGACTTATTGCTTCGCCGCGGCAAGGTCGTGGTGCCACCCAATTCCTCGCACATTGGCCAGCTGCTGCACGAGTTTCACGCCACCCCCATGGGCGGCCATTCGGGAGTCGAACACACCTACAAACATTTGGCATTTCTATTGGCCCGCAATGTGGAGGATGTCCAACGCTTCGTACGAGCGTGCGACGTATGTCAGCGTGCCAAGAGTCAATCTCTCGCCTCGGCGGGTCTACTCCAGCCACTTCCGATTCCCTCTCAAGTATGGCGAGACATATCTATGGACTTTGTCGACGGTCTCCCATCCTCCGGTGGCAAGACGGTCATCTTTGTCGTCTTCGATCGCCTAACCAAAGCTGCCCACTTCATTCCGTTAACGGACCCCTACACCACGCGATCAGTATCCGATGATTTCCTCTCCAGTGTTCTTAAGTTACACGGCCCCCTCGCTCGATTTTCAGCGACCACGGTCGCACTTTCACAAGCAACTTCTGGCGCGAACTCTTTCGCCTCTACGGGACTCAGCTGCAGATGTCTTCATTGTACCATCCGAAAAAGGATGGCCAGACTGAAGTAGTGAATCACTGTGTTGAATAGTATCTTTGTTGCTTCGCTAATCAAAATCCCCGGTGCTGGGTCTCATTCCTTCCCTGAGCCGAGTTTTGGTACAACACGACGTTCCACAACTCCAGCGGGATGTCTCCTTTCCAGGCTGTCTATGGGCACCTTCCTCCGTCATTACCTTACTACCGCCCCGGCTCCACCTCTGTTCACGAAGTGGAACAGATACTCCTCGACCCCAACGCCATCCTCTCCGACCTCCACGCCAATCTGTTTGCTGCCCGTAGCCGTATGAAACAGTATGCAGATACCGGTCGCCGTGATGTAGAGTTTCGCGTGGGCGACCCTGTTTACTTGAAGCTTCACCCGTATCGGCAGCACTCAATCTTCCGCCGAGCTTATCAGAAATTGGCTTGTCGCTATTTCGGGCCTTACTTGATCATTGAGCGCATTGGGGCAGTCGCCTATCACCTCGATCTTCCTCCGCGCAGCCGGGTTCACCCGGTGTTTCATGTGCCCCTCCTACGCCCGTGCCATGGCCCAACTCCAGCTCTCTCGACGGTTACTCCGCCCATCGACGATGATGGCCCAACTTCTTGTTTCGGTTTGAATTGCCTTAAAAGGCTAGTACGTCAATTGAATAAGGCAAGCAGATTTTAGCAAAGAAAAACATGGTAATCCCTTGCCAAGAAAAGAGTGAACTGGCTCAATCCAGCCAAGAAAGTGGATCCATTCATTCATTCAATTTCAATCCTTATCAGTTGCCAAGTCATATTACTAACAAAATTGCTAACTAAAAGTTAACATTTGGCTAATTCTTAGTATTTCGATAGGTTTGGATAATATAAAAGAATCTGAAAAAGGTTTGGATAAAAAATAGACATTAGCCTAAAAAAATTTACCTTTTGTTATAAGATATTACTTACAAGATTTAAATTTGCGACTTACATGAAAATAGACCTGACAAAGCCACTCATGTCGCAATATAAGATTGAAGGGATTACATATTACATACAGTTTGAAGGTTTACATCGCATGGCTCAGAGTGCAGTAAATATGGTCACACGAAAATAGGTTGTCCGAGGTTGGGTTTCCAGCAAGGTAAATGCTTCCCACGGTTACTTAAAATGGCGGTATAGCGGGTGGTTTACACATTTGTTGGACAGACGAGGTACAGCTAGAATTAATGGATGCAGATTTGCATTTTATGGATGTTAAGTTTACATATCATAATGAGTTCTCTAGACGGTTCATTGGCATCTACGGATGATTAGTGTCTGACGAGAAGTGGCAAACAAGGGAGCTGATGAGGCGCCTCAGGCAACAGTGGAATGGGTCATGGCTCTGCGGGGGTGACCCAAGTCAAATTACATTCCCTTTTTGAAAAGAAAGGGGAATGGGCGGTCGATGAACGTGAGATAAAGGAGTTTCGTCAATGCATTGATGACTACGACTTGAGCGATTTAGGCTTTCAAGGATACCCTTTCACTTGGGATAATGGGAGACGGGTGGGTTTCATAAAAGAAAGACTAGATCGTTTCGTGGCAACAAAAGGCTGGATTGAAAGGTTCGCAACAACTTGGGTTATGCATTTAGACTGGAACTTATCCGATCATAGACCAATTTTGTGTGATACTCTTGGAGAGGAAGATGAGGCTATCAAATGGGGTTGGTCTTTCCGCTTTGAAAACCTCTAGACGAAGCATGAAGAGTTCCCTAAAACCATTGAAGAAGCTTGGAAAAAGGTGGAGGTAATGTCCTAGAAGGGTTAAGAGAATGCAAAATGAATCCGAACAGTTGGAGTAGGAGGGGTTTCCTCAACTTCTCTTGGCAGAAGCAACGCATAGCAAGAGCTCTGCGATCTCTTGAGCGGCTAGAGAAGACGCCGAAAGTCATTTAACAACGACAGCAGCTGGAATCAGAATTTGTCGAATTGGATACGAATGAGGAAATTTTTTGGCAGTAGAGATCACGTGCAGATTGGCTTAAGGATGGAGACAAAAATACAAATTTTTTCCATAAGAAAGTGACTCACTCCTACTATCACTCTAGAAAATGGCCAAGTGTAACCACTTCCTAAAGCATAGTATAGCGGGTTGGGTTTTAATGTCAACCCGGGTCCTAGATGTGATGACTACTCAGCGAATTCTTATTATTTAGCGGTGAAACTTTAGTGCAGGTTCAAACAAGCAAACAAACAAAGCAAGCAAGAAGGTTGTTTTCAAGTCAAGAGAGGTCACCCGGATATGGTTCCCCCTAGACTGCAGTTAAGCCGGATTGTAATTTACCAAGTTCAGTTTTAATGATAGTTATACTACGGGAGGATCTTAAGCAGTCTGAAGTCTCGACTAAAGGTCTCCAGACCTTCTCAATCTGAGTCCCCAGCGGGCGACTAACCTCCACCGGAGTAAATAGATTGAGGCCCTAACGAACCAAACCTCCACTATCGAAGTAAATTCGGTACAGAATAGTGAATTGGCTCCTCGACTAAAGTCGCCAATTCACCACCTTCAATCAAGGTGCTCTATCAACCTAGCAGATATTCTCTTTCTAGGTCAAAGCAGAAATAACAGGAATTTGATCAGGATTCATGCCATTCAACAATTAAAACCTCAATTAAAACCTCAATTGAATCTGTACTTGGGTTCATACAATCAGACCTAACATACAAATCTAGGGTTCTCCATACCCAGATGAATGAGGGAGTTATTCCATGGAGAGAGGAGCAAAAGCAAGCTCAGATGCAGAAATCATGCTGTGAAGGATGGGTTTCTGCTCTTGGTCGTCAATCGGCGCTTCTCCAAGTGTGAGCCGAGCTCCAATGGTGATGAAGATCAAGCTAGGGCACTTGGGAACTCTGGTTTGTCGCTTTCTCTCTCTAGGAATTGCTCTGTCTCTCTAAAACTCGGAACCCTTCACTTTTGGCCTTCTTTTCCCTTAAGAAGCTGTCTGTCGCGATCCCCGGCGGGTATTTTGGGTGGCGATCGGGTATGTGCAAAACGCACCGTCGGGTAACAGGGGAAATCCCCGGTCATGCCCAAGAATCCCCGACCGGGCCCCCTTCTGCTTCTCAAAGACGCCCGAAGCGTCAAATCCCCGTTCATGGCCAAATAATACCCGGCCGGGTATTTGTGCTCATGGCCGGGTATTTTTGCTCTCCAGCACTCTTCAAACCTCACATGCTCCTTTCGACCCGAAACTCGTTCCTTCGCCTCGATGCCAACGCTAAGCCCTGAAATATGACATAAACGCACAACCTAGCGTGAAATTGGCTTAAAATACGAGAATCAACGCCTCAAACGGCTCAAGAATAGGGGTAAAGACATGTGTAATTAATGGTCTATCAAACTCCCCCACACTTAACCGTTTGCTTGTCCCTAAGCAAACCTAACTCAAACCAATGCAACTCTCCAGACCTCTATAGCAACAAACAACCCCGATCGTCGGTAGAGGATTTCCTAGATCATATAGCAGCTTACGAGGTCAACTGGTATTCTAAGACGTTCCCTATCTCTCTCAATGCGAGTACTAGACTCAAGCCAGGATCATGAGAAGAAGTAGAAGTAAGACAGCCAGTTCATGGATAAAGGGACTCATATCATTCACAGCCAAGGACTCGTTGTACCGGGGTGCTCTTTTCACTTCATTTCACCGTTGGAACCCCTTTTTCACTTTCACTTTTTTCTTTTTCTCTTTTTTTTTCATTCACTTAGCGGGGGTTCCAACTGCAGTCTTTTGCACGGTCAACCCTTATTAGTCGAGCAAGAGCAATTTCTGTACATCTGGCGCTCGCCAGAGTACTTCTTTTAACTCCTTTTCCTCAACTAGTGTGGAGGGTCAATGAAATTAAGGGGGGTCGCACGCTCTATCCGTGCCCTTAAAAACACATCCTCAAGTAGGCAAACCGTTCAACGGGTGGAAGTTTTACTTATACTAGAGACGGATTAGCTTCACCTTGTAGGAGTACCCCACTAAGGATCACTAAAATCTCTACCAAAACCCGATTTTGTGCAATGAACGGTGCCGCACACGTTGGGCTTACCCCATGTTTAAGATTTAATGATTTCTACATTGAGGACCAACTGCTTTTCATTTTCCACATGATCACCCTGTTCGATACACGAGTCCATAACACAATCCAAATAGAGTCACCATTATCACATGAATTCAACGGTCTTAGCTCCACTAATTCACAAA